AGTGATGGAGATTCCACATACTGCCAAGGCCACTGCCACAGCAAGCAGCTACCTGGCCTATGGCTGCTTACTGTACTGCCAATACTATATCAGATCTGCCCACAAGGAGTCCTATGGTACAGATGTAATCCAGAGTGAGTTGGCACCCCTGACAGAGGGCCATACAGTGCATCTGTCCAAGAACAAAGAATAGCATCTATTTTTCTGTGAAAAGGGAAAGATCTCCCTTTCCTGTGCTAAAGTTTAAAAATCCCCAAAAGCTATTCTCTCTCATGAAGATTAAAAAAATAATCATAAAAAAGGCAAAGCACAGTGGTAGAATTCCAATTTCTTTGTATTTAAAATACTGGTTTTGATATAGATTCACAGTTAAAAATTAAAGTTATGCAGAAGGCAGGATAGATTTCCACCTTAAAGATTAACTAAATCAGAGATGTACAGCATAAGCTTTTGGGAACCTAAGGAGCTTGCTTTCCATTCTATTTTGTCTCTGATCTGCATGAAGAAATGTAGATACAATATTTATGAATTTATCTAAACAGTAGTTATCCAAAGTATTATTCTTGCAGTACTGTTTACCAAAAATGTTATAATTACTAGAATCTCAAATTCAATTAAAAGTTTGTTTGAAATCTGCTATAAGATTATGTTAGCATCCATATGCATTTCCTGCCTGCCTATAAATCTATCTTATATAATGTTAAGTAATTACATTTTTTCTATGGGTTAAGTGCTGAAGTAGTTTCAGCATCTCCAGACAGTAAAATATCTGAGATCACATCTGAATGTATTCAAGACAGTGGACAAATAGTAATGGCTAAATACCATATTTAGCACATTAGTCTTCAGAGCACTAAAGGTAAAGTTTTTTTTTTAACTTTCTGCCTCAAAATAGGCCCCTAAGAAACCATGTTTGTGAATATAATTAATTTTAATTTACTCTTTTGTATCAACTGCCTCCTACAGTACTGGAAGCATCTCTACTTTGCCAGACTATGACAGTGGAGCTCAACCTTTTAGAGTGATGGGTCAGATTCTTGTAACCCACCCAGCTGCACTGTGAGCCACCACTTCTTTCTAGCAAGGGAAGAGGAAGAGAGGTAGCTGCCAATATCAAAGGAAAGGGAGAGAAAGAAGAAGAGAGCTTCCCCCCCAGATCAGCAGCATGGTGCAGGGTAGGGAAGGGAATGCACAGGGCTGAGCTGCTGATCCCACATGCCACATGCTAAATCTAGGCTGCAGGCCATGGGTTGAGCACCACTGGAGTATGACAATGAGAGGTCAAAAAACTCAAGAGCCTAAACATGTAAACCAGGGAGCCCCAAGACACACATGAGATTACTCAAAAAGCATGCAAATAGAATAGGATAAGAAAAATAAAAATCAGAGGAATGCAGAGACTTCCCTCTGATGAAAAATTAAAAGATGACAAATAGTGTGATGATGATGGTAGATGTATTGTGTAGGAAAAACATTAGGTAGGTGTTCTTAATTACCATCTGGATACAACAGCAACAATGACAAATTCAGTGAAATTAGATGGTAATTTTAAAATTTGAAACTGACACACGACAAAAACCTATTAGTTCCTTGCCACAAGATATTACAGCACAGCATTTAATATTTTAATTCAGAAAAAGATTAGTTATTTATATAAATGAAATTTCTTAAGATACATTATCCAAGATTAGATTTTTTTTGAAGAAAAAGATCTTCAAGACATACATCATCTCCAACTGTATGGGGTTAGGGAGAAACTACCTAATGGGCTAATATATAATAATCTGTCCACATAAAGTTTTATTGCAACTTTTTCTGAAGCATTTGTTATTGACCATCATTAGGGAAAAGCTACCAGAACAGATGGACTTTTGAAGTGGTTCTGTACATAGTTTCTATGGTCATCTCTTTCCATGTTCACAAATCACTTTATCCATATTATGCCAAACAAAATCACCAGCAGCAGTAACATAACTATGAGGGGGAAACAGGGCACTAGCAGGAAGGGACAAAGAGAGCCACCACCACCCCATGCATTGTCACTGCACAGGGTCCAAAACTGCTCAGCTACATCTCTGATCATCAGCACTGCACAGTTATAATCTATAGGCCACAGTTTATGCCTTCAGAGAAAATGATTTCCATATGTGAAAGCTGAGCTTACAAAAATTGTATGGATTTTCTATTCCATATTGCTAACCCAAGTGACAATGAAGTATTTCATCTGAATTGTATCCCTAAATACCCCTGAAAAATAAGCCATGTCAAAATATATATCTTCTACTAGATCATGAACAAACATAGCTAAATATTTGTAAGGCATTAGCTTAGAAGACCAGACTCAGAACATAATCGACTTTATTTATACCGAAACAACTTCACCACTGTTGGAATCAAAGGGACTGATCTGTGGTTTGATACAGTACACAACAAAACATTTGTCCCCAACTGATTCCCAGAGGAAACTGAATATATCTTTTCAACACAAGACAATGCCATGCAGACATATCTCAAGCTAGTTCTGCATATGCTATCTCTAGCAGTATATCCATGCTATTGGACACCGCCTAGGCTAATTAACTCAGCTAAGAAACAAAACTTATTAGCCCAGAGCAGAGTCAGATCATAGTATCTCTGCATGCCTTTTGCTCTAGACATACCCACTGGCCACATTCAGACAAGTGAGGGCGTGCATTTTGTGGCGCCACAATCCTCTTTATGGTGCTACAAACTTCATGTATGGAACGTTAAAAGCGTGCTCCATGCTGTAAATTTGCAGTGTGGGGACAAAATTTGCTACCTGGATTTCCCAGTAGCAAAAAAAAGTGCCAGGGAAAAAAGGCGGCACAGAGCATGCTACAGCAGCACACACTGGAACAAATGGAGACTTGGTCTTTCAGTGAGATGATCTGGCTGCCAGTGAACACATCTCTACTGCTCCAGCACACCAGGAGGAGCTGTGCACAGGCAGTTTGCCCGAAGTGGAACAATCTGTCCCGCAACAAAGTACATATGCAGGGATGTGCACCGAGGCACAAGACACAAAGTAATGGCACAAATGCGTGCTGCTACTATTTGCGCTACTACTGGTGCATGCCCTGGCTCATCTGGATGCAGCAACTGTGTTCAAAATGCAAAAATACATCCTCAAACATGGCACTATGGATGGCAAAAGCTAAAGAGACTATAAAGTTTAAAAACTCTCTCCAGGGGGACTTCTCCATCTTAAATCCTGGTCAGATAGAAAGAAGCAAGCAGAAGTAAAGTTTCATAACATTCTGATTTTCAAATATTTTCATTAAAGACTTTAAAAGACCCCTACATTCTAAAGCAAACAGGCATTCTAAGCATGATAATAATTATTACTACCCATAATAAATCAGTGAACCTTTCAGGTCAGTATTCAAGGTCATACAGAGAAGACACTGAGGAAGCTTGTACTGCTGTTGACTATCCCATATAATTTTTTTAAAGATATTTTTAGTTTCCAAGGATGAGAAACTAGCACATTTTACAAGTAGCACATAAAACTGCAGTCATTACTTCTTTCCATTACGCTCATTTGTGTGGCTGGTGCCTCAAAGGAAATAATGTGCTACCATATGATATGGTGCAATGAGTTTTAAAAACACAGAAGAAAAATAAATCTCATTAAGTAGGATGACTGAACACTGCAAATCTGGATGTTCACACAGACTTTGTAACTGTACACCAATGGCTTCCAAACTACTATCCATGATCACTGGTAGGACACAGGCAGGCATTATATCTGTGCCAGGAAATGCCCTTTTCCTGGCACAAAAAGTAAACATACAAGCATTCAACCAGTTTGTGGCAGAAAAAAGCACAGTATTTCCATCACAAACTGTTAGGCCTTTCAACTAGCAACTATTCTGGAGAGCAGTGCCACATAACAGTGGTATGGCTTCATATAGCAGTATGGGGGTCCCTAACATCCCAAGTATCCCACAGTCCTCTGCTCTCCCTCTCCCTGCTTATTGGGGTGGGGGGAGGAGAGGGGAAAGAAGCGAGTGTGGCTGTTTCCCTGATAACCTGCCCTGTGCCCTGCCCTGCCCTGCAGGGACCCCTACTACTCCAGCTACTTGAATAGGTCTCAGCTGTCTCTGGGAGTCCAAGTTGGAGGGCAGGCTGCCAATCATCAGATTCCTTTGCGGTCAGCCCTCTACTGCCATCTGGCTGAAGAACTCACCAACAACATGCCTGTGCAGCTCTCCCACAAGGAAGCTGAAATGTCTGTCTGGCCCCCTTCTTACCACATTTTTTGTAGCACTGGAAATTACTGGATCTCAAATTGAAAATGTATCCATACCCTAAATCACCTTTCTCAAAACACAATTATTAAGACACTGTGACAATAAAGGTATTAGGGCATGGTGAAGGGAGATAATCTAGAGGGTCTTCCTCTACATGAAAAGATTGCAGGGCTCAGCAATATTGCACTGTTCAAGTTTTTAAAGACAGTAAAGCTAAGTCTCCTTGTTCTTAAATATGATCTCTTTATACCCTTTGCCAAAACAACACTTTTCAACAAGTCAAAAAGAGCATTAGGAATGGGGGCTGCTGCAAAAGCAGTACTATAAATAAGGACCTACCCAAATTGTGATTGCACAGATTTCATGGAAATCCTTGAAAATGGCAGCCAGCCCCATGATCTGCCTGCGAAATCAGCTGACTGCCTACTCAAGTTGGGTAGATCCCTAACCATAAATATAAGCAAGCTAATAAATCTTCATTAAGAACCAAAACTAACAACAGGCTATGAGGTTCCTACAGAAAGTTGTGTCAAACCCTATTGCAGGCAGGTGGGCTATTTATATTAATGCTATCCAGCAACTATTTGTAGCAGGCGATAAACATTTGTTAACTACCATTTCAATTCCTTTTCAGTATTTCTGTTCCCTAAAGCCACTCTGCAGCCATAGAAAACTGCTACTCTCCGTATAATTTGTCCTAGAAAGCAAAAGAATAAATAATTCTACCTTTGTGATGAGAATTCTGTATTTCTCCAACATTGCCTGGTTGTCATGGCATCCTGCAAGCAACTGCCAAACCTCTGCCCTTAGTGCCTCTGGAACACCACTCTTAACCAATGTAGACAGTCCTTTTGGTCGCACACCAAGGTTACTGTGCCTGAGAAAAACAGACCACTGTTATTTACCTCTGCTATAAGAATTTAGACACAGGCATACAGAATAAGAAAAACATGGAAACTTTGAGTTCACGTTTTGTGCTGAAAAAACAATCATACTACAAACAGATGTTTCAACACTCATATCTGCAACTGCTTCTCATGTTAATAGCGAGGGTTCCAAAAAAGTCATAGATCAATGGTAAAAATATACCATTTAACCATAACTATTTAGATTATTCAAGATGAGAAAGCATACTTGAGGCTGGTAAAGTGAAGAACTGCAATAAGAACTAAAAATAGGACAGAATGCAACAAGCAAAATTAATGGCAGGCAAAAGCAATGCTCTATAAGGCACAGAATAATTTGAACTATCCATATATGCAGATGAGCTCAAAATTAGAAGTTTTCCACTAGCAACAATCATACCTGGGTTGACCTTCACGGGCTACAAAATGTAACCACTAAGGAAAAGGAATTGCCATTTTGTTGGCAACTTAATTAATATTTGTTCAATGTACAGCAGCAATAAAAGAGCAAGCAAAGATGCTGAACTGTATAAAGAAAAGGATTGAGAATAATTTTGAAAAATACTTCAGTGCCGTTATTATGAAGGTGCTACTTACAGCTACATAGTTAAGGCTGAGTTGAGCTGTACATGTAAAACTGGGATTCAGTTTCTGTTATGCATGGATTCCACAATTTACTGGACCACTGAATTTTCTTCTATGTATTTAGAAGTAAATCTGTTTATTATGATCTTAAATGAATAAGCACTTTAAAGAAATATAGCATTCTTCATCCCAATATCTTTTTCAACTGCTTTTGTACCTAGGTCAGTGGAAAGGGCACATGCGGAACTGGGAAATGTATTTAAAAAAAATAACAAATAATTAAGATTGTGGATCTTATAAACAAATTATTATTGAGGCTTTTAGAAGGATAACATGAATAAGGATATGCATTATATAGAAATACACTAAATTGGTTAGAGGCAGAAAACATATCTAAAATGCTAGAATGAAATTACTCCTATAAGCCTAATATTGTGTAATTTTCAATTATGGAGGTTTTAGAACCTCTGAAAAATCCTGTGTTATCCACTTTCAGAGACAGAATCATTTTGATTTAGCAGGGCAATATCTTCGAGCAATGCTATGAGAAGGCAATATTTGAATCAATTCTTTGGCCTGTCTTCATTAGAAATTGTTAGCAGAAATTTTGCTTTGTTACTACCACCATTTTTTAGCTCCACTGGTAGTAGCACCAGTTTAGAAATAAATGCTAGCAGCCTGCTGAGAGTCAATTACCATGTCATTTTAACACAGGCTTATGTTAAGGTTAAAAGCAATGACTATTGCTTTAAGCTAACCAACAAATATATATAGAAACTGCTGCTACTATTCCAAGCTTAACTTTTTTGAGCATGACTCCAAATAAGCCAGTCATTCCTACACTCAGCTAAACTAGTTTTTCCTACAATGACTGATCATAAAAATTATATTTAAAAATCCCTATAAGCAGCTCAGTGGATAATTATTATGGAATTTGAAAAAACTTGGTTTGGGACAGACCACTTCAGCTCCATTGTCCGGTTAGCCAAATGAAAAGCATACTGTCTCCTTTCCTCTCTGTTAATATGTTTCATGGGAATGTGGGGGTTGTTTTTAACAAATTTTTGATGGTAAAAGTGCTATGAAGAGAAACCACTAGTAAACAGAAATATTTTAAAGGCTAGATACCCTAAGTGTCTTCAGAATTTTAAGAAAAGGTTCTTCAGGAGGAAATGAAAAATCAAACTGAACTGTCAACTCAAACAAGTTATGAGAGCATGAACCATCATTCATCATGCATTTCAAGATAGCCAAGATATATCCATATGCATAAGAAAACAGTGTTAGATGGGTATGGTAATTAGTTAGTGTCATTCCTATTGACAAGTAGGAAGACAAGATCCCTTCCCCAAGGACATTATAAATCTAATTTGAACTGATAAAGAGAAACAATAGACCAGATGAGGGGGCTGGGGGTGAGAAATCACAAGAAAAAATAATTGAGTACTCCTGTCATAAATAACTGTGCCTCAAAAATAAAACATTTGAAAGAGATTGAAATGGGATGTGGAAGCTCATCAATTCTGAAGCAAATTTCCATAAGACACATGCAGTACTTAATAATATACCTTCCACACCTGCATATTTAATTAAATTACTTGTTCGTATTTTTAGGTACATTACAGACACCACAACAGACTCTCGCTTTGTAACCAAACACAAAGACCTACATAATTTGGAGCCTTTTAACATGTGAATAAATCAAATGAGAGCTGGCATAGTAAGTTTTCACATGCACATGAAGAATGGTAAGCAATTCTTTACTGCTATCAAGAAAATATAGGTAACCTAGAGTAACAGCTAATGGAGATATACACTCCATGTAGTAATATCATTCTTTATTTCCTAGTGTGATCACACCAGAGTATTGCCACACTATAAAGCAGAAGATCATATTGTATTTGTTACATGAGTATTCAAGTGTATTAGCCTTACATTAGAGATAAGACTTCATCTGATAATATTAGACAGTTCAGTTCACATTATAAAACCAACATGCAAGTCAAACAAAACTGTACCTTTAATTAGCGACTCGGCAGGTATCTCAAAATCTGCCTGGGAAATAATTTAATTATTAATAACCCTTGCTATTTTATATTAGTAAACAAATAAGTCTGCTTTTTTCCTTGCTATAATCATCCCCATCCAAGGCTAGAAACAGACATCATCAAATGAAGTAGGTGGGCTGTGCCAGGATATGCCCCAACCCAACTGATGCACCT